AGCGAGGTACGAAGAACGGACCCCTGACCGGAGGAGCTTAGGAAGGCTGTTCCAAAGGTTCCTACAGCCTTGTGTCTGAATTTAAAAGAAGACCACAGTACAGTGAAAAGACTCTGACCAGATGATTGGACAGGCCAACTAATGCAATAATAGGAGGAGCCTGCCCATGAAACTACTACATTTTACAATGAATTCTGAATGTTGCCCAATGAAGGGAAGCTAGATTAGAGGTGATAAGCAGGCACAGGCATGTTTTTGTTAGCAGTTGTGGACTAAATGAAGACAAGCTACGAAGGACTGAGAAATACACATAAAAAATGAATTACAGAATTAAAGACAGCAGAGAATGAAACTGAGCACTAAAAGTTTCAGACCCCTGGTTGACAGCAAAGGTTTGATTTATTTATTTTTTTATGTTGCAGTAAGTAAGTACCAAAATACATTTACAGTGTTTATCATCAATGCAGAGGAGAAAACAGGACATGCAGGATAAATATGGAAAAATGTGGTGCAGCAGAAGTTTTCAACTATACTGCAGCTGGCACATCCACTAAATATTGTAGTAAAGATATTATATGGATGGATAGATGGTGATTTTATGCACGCAGTTTTTATGTTATTACTGAGACGGCTGCTAAGTGGTGATACTTGTTTCTAGAAGTAAATTAATACTACATGGAAATGTTTGCATGGTTGAAACACCAGGATAAGAGTAAATGAAAGCACTTCTAAATGTTCAACTGCCCCCTGTGTGTTTATTTGTTCCCAAAACTGATGCTGTTAAAAAAAAGTGGTGAAAAGCACCCCAACTCATCTCCTCGAGTATCTGTGTTACAGGTTACAGTGCATATATATGATTTATGTGGTTGTAAAGGTTAGGGTTGGAGGCTTTGAAATACATAATGCCAATCATGGTCTTCATACGTATAGTTTATAAATGCATAAATGGTAACTCTTGGTAACGAGGTTGACATGGCAGATAAAAGCATTGCATTGACTTGCAGGTAGAAACCATGACAGTGAACAAGCTACAACCTTTCCACAATCTTTCTACATCCATCTCCAAAACACAAACACAGGGACACACACACACGCACCATATGTGATTGCCTGCCCCGCTGCCTCCACCAAAACATAAAAATAAAAACCATGCATGAAGTCAGGCAGTCATAAGTTGGCACAGCAGCAAATCTGGGTTCCTGCCACCAATCTGACTTATGACGAAGGAGCAGTGCCAAAGTTTATTATTTATAACCGTGCGTGTGTGTTTGCTCTGTGGCTCTTGTGGCTTCCCTTTGTTTGTTTGTTCATCTCTCCACAGCAAATGATTTGTCAGGCATCGATGATTTGAGGTTTTGTAAACTTTTAGCGTATTAGGTTTTTCATCACAGCCAATGTGTCCTTATGCAACCTGCTTTCATTTCCAAGGCATCAAGCTCAGCAGTGCAGGGTTGGTGTTGTGAAGGGGCGGATTTTAGTGTAAACCACAATGTTTCACTAAATTTAAACTAAACTTGAGTAGATTTAAGTGCCAGTGTCGAACCACCAAAGGAGCCAAAGATTTCTTGTGCTTCTGAGAGTTAGTTTATGTGTCTCTTGCTTTTAGTTCAGCTTTAGATGACGTCAGGTTTGTTAGTTCCCCTTTGTGTTCTCATGATGTTCCTTCAGTCTTCTCGCTCTCTGTTTTTCCTTTTGTCTGTTTGTGTCAAGTTAGTGCTGTCTCCCCATTCTGCTGTGGCTCTCTTCCATATTTTATTTTGGTGACTGTTGTTCCGTGTGTTGGTTCCCCCGACTCATTAAGTTAATTATTCTCAGTTGTGTTCCCACCTGTTACCTCTGCCCTCGTTATCCTGTGTGTGTGTGTGTGTGTGTGTGTGTGTGTGTGTGTGTATTGTCTCAGTCTTGCTTTGTTGCATCGTCCTTCGTGGTTGTTTTGTTTCTTGTGAATAACTCTTGTGAGTTAACAGCATTAAAGTCGATTTTTGTTTTATTCAGGACGATCACATATGGAGAAACTAAAACTATTGCAACAAAAACAAAAGGACACTAAATGTTAAAGCAACACAGGAAAGAAAGAGAAGACACTGGAAACACGGAGACTAACCTAAACATAGTAAGACAAAGTGGTGAACAGACAGGGAAACACAGGGAGGCTAGAATAACAAATAGATTCAAATCAAAACTTAAGCATCATATCAAAAAAAAAAA